TTGTGTGTGTGTGTGTGTGTTCATTCATTCATTCACACACATGCACACTTATACATGAATAATTTTTCAAAATGACATTTATAGATTTTGTTCAGTTTATGAATACTGCAAAATATGTTAACATTTATACTAATTCCTTTTCATGCTATTGTGATATAATAGTAATATTCCATAAGAAGAATTTTTATATTCATTATTCCTTTCTAGAATTTTAAATGAACGGTATTCATCTGCCCTTTTGAACAGACCCTTCACATTGCATAGATTGTCAGTGCCAAATATTATGACTGTATCTAGAACTATTCTCCACATCACTAATTCAAAAAACAATACTCGATTAAAATATCGGAGAAAATTATTGATCACCTTAACATATGGATACAAAGCTTCATATGTGTACTGCCCACTTACCCCCCAAAACAGTTGCTGTCTTACAAATCCATTTTAAACAAGTTCATTATTTCTGACAGAATTAAATTAAGCAATCCTTGGCAGAATTAAAACATAACACCTCTTTCAAAGCTCAAGAATGTTTTTAAAGTGGATATTCTTGGAATATCTTAAACTTTTACTGGAATCTCCAATAAAGACCTTAAAACAACCTCAAAATATTAAATGATATCAGCAAATCTGCAATTAAGCTGACAAATAAAATATATTTAGGGTGTACTAGACTTCCTGGATATGTATGGCAAAGGTTAAACATCAGATTTTATTTCCTTGAGGTGTAAACTGTTGAGAATTCATTGATTCTTATGATATGGTCATATTGTTATTTGATTTCTTTTGAGGATAATAACAACAGCAATAGTACTTATACTATATACTGTTTCACAGTGCTTTACAGACCTTTCTAAGCAGTTTAAAGAGTCAGCTTATTGCCTCCAACAATCTGGGTCCTCATTTTATCGACCTTGGAAGGATGGAATGATGAGTCAACCTTGACCTGGTGAGAATTGAGCTGTCAAAATCAAACTCCTGGCAGTCAGCAGAATTAACCTGCAGTACTGCATTCTAACCACCGTGCCACCAATATATTAATGAATAAAGCAGATATATGGGAAAATCTTTGAATATTAAAGATCTTAACATTACATATTAAAACTCTGTTAATTAAGAATTATTGTTATGTCAAGTATGGCAGGGAATGGTTAGAAGAATTGCATTGAAACATTGGAAATCTGATATGCTAGATGTAGTTGTTGGACATGCGTGATAATATTTTGGAAAGGGCAGTATTTTCTAAAGGAAGCCATCATATATGTTAGAATGGCAGATTTTGTAATATTTTATATTAATATATTATACTATTCATATAATTATGATGTATTCATCATTAAAAGTGTGAATATTGGATGTATAAAATATAATGTAAATTTTTCCTTCTTTGCATTTTTATTTTTTTTAAAATTTAAAGGTTGTTTTGTTAATTGTGTATCCATTAAATAAATAGTCCTGTAAATATAAATATTTTGGTCTGGAGAAAAGAACATAGGGAGGATATTTTAGTACTTCTCAAAAATCTGAAAGGACATCATGTGAAAGAAGATTAAGTTATATATTTACTCTTTAATGAGAATGATAAGCTAGCTAACACATCTCTGAATAAGTGAAGATAATGATGTGGGATCTCAGCGAGGAGATTATTCCCATGGAATATCTCCTGATAAGAAAAAATGGAAGATTGTCTACTTGTTGCTGATTGCTCCTTCCAAAGAGACTGCAGGATAGTGATTTCTAATAGACACATTCAAAAAGACAAATTTGCAACTCAAAGTGCAAATTTGTGACTTTAGTGACTTTACCTTCATTCTAAAACAAAGGAAAATTTAATAAGTTTAAGAATTGAAATTTACACAAGCACAAAACTTGAGAGAAAATTTTTATAAGATGTTTTATAGATGGCACCTAGAGCCTAAAAAGCTTGCCTCTATGTATCCAAATGTTCAACCTAAATGTTGGAGATGTGGTTCTTGTGATGCTACATATTTTCATATATGGTGGACATGTCGTAATGTCAAGGCATTTTGGATAAAAATATGGTGGATCCTGCAAAACATCCTCAAAAGAAGGATAAAATTCACCCCCCAGTTGTTCTTACTGGGTATATGTATTGACTTTACAGCAGCAGAGACTAATTTGGTTCTGTACTTAATAACGGCAGCAAGACTCTTGGTGGCGCAGTATTGGAAGAAGAAAGATTTACCTACAATTCAAGAATGGACTTTGAAAATTATGAACTTAGCCGAAATGGCCAAAATTTCAGCATATCTCAAAGAACATTCAAACGAGAGATATAAACGAGACTGGAAAAAATGGATTGATTACATAAAAAGTAAATATGGGACTAAGAAACTCCAGATAGCTTATGCTTAGTATCAGTAACAATTTAAATTGTTTAAAATTTGGGTAACAGTAAGGAGCTGAGTTCAATGTAGAGATATTTTAGACTGTGATTGTCCAAAAGTTATACCACGTATGGTCTTTGGGAAGTCGGGGGGAGGGAAGGGAGGTGGGGATTCAGGGGGAGGGGGGAGGGGGGAAATACAATATGTGTTAAATTCCATGATTGCATTTGTATACTGTGGCTTTTCAATGTTAGTGCGAAAATAGAACAAACCGAATATACTGGAAGATAATAGAAATATACCGAAGGAAAGAGTCGAGTGAAAGAAGAAGGAGGGTGGAGAGGGTGAGAGAGAGGAGGAGGAGAAGGGAGGGAGGGAATGGATTAGAGGGAGTGACAGGGTTAGGGTTAGAAAGAAGGGGAGGGGAAGTAGGCGTAGAGGGCTGTGTGAGAAGGAAGAATGAAAGTTGGAGGGGGTTGAAAGAGGGTGTATGGTGGGCCAAGGTGGTATATTGGGTTTGTATTGTAGAGGGCATTTTCTATATAAGTGAAGGCCGTGTTTATTACTCAATGTTATATGCCCTGATCAAGCACAGTAAATATGTGATTGTATAGAATGAAAACATAATAATATATATATATATATAATAGCAGTTTTTTGTTTTTGTTTTTAGCAATAGCAGTAGACTTATATACCGCTTCATAGGCCTTTCAGGCCTCTCTAAGCGGTTTACAGAGAGTCAGCATATTGCCCCCAACAATCTGGGTCCTCATTTTACCCACCTCGGAAGGATGGAAGGATGAGTCAACCCTGAGCCGGTGAGATTTGAACCGCTGACCTGCTGATCTAGCAGTAGCCTGCAGTGCTGCATTTAACCACTGCGCCACCTTGAATTGAATTGAATTGAAAAACTCTAAAATAAATGACAAAATCTAAATGTTTAATTCAAGAAAATATGAACAAATTAAGGTACCAGATGAATTTGGAATATTAAGAATTTTGCCATAAAATTTTAGAAATAATAAATAGCTCCTCTGTGGGAACTAAATTGCTTTGTCTACCCTTTGTCTATGAAATAAGTCATAAGAGAAAATCAAGACTTTATGATTCCAGAAATTGGATACCAGAGGGGACTAAGGTACCAGAGGCATAAAACAAAAGAAAAAGAGAGACAGGCTTGCCTTTTGCCTTTGGTCAGCACTGCGACAAAATGACAGAAACGATATGACAGCTGAAATGCTCCAGGAGATAAATGAAGAATGGGGATAGGAAATAGCAGCTGCAATGTCAGCAATGTTCTCTGCTTCTATGGATAGACTATGCCCAAAAGATATTTTTAAAATGACTGATGTGCAAAAAGAATATCTTAGAGGATCTACGGGATCAACAACTGAATGTTTCCCAGGTAAGCAAATTTGACCAGATGAGCTAATTCTAGATACACTAATATAATCTTACAAGTCTGATAATACAAATCTCCTGCTGTTTCTTCTACAACCTAAAAAGTTAAGGTTTCTTTGCCCATTGTGCAGCTGTAGGTTATGCCCTTTCTTATCTAATCATTCCTTGGGTAGTGTTCCTTGTATGCCAAGGTCATATCCACATACCATTACATTGAAACAAGCCTTATTTGATGCTGAAAAACTAGAACGTAAAGATGAAATATTGAAAAATGAAAAAAAATTATAAGTCAGATGACAGCTAAAATAGAAATAAAAATGATAAGTCAAAGCAGTGACCTGGACAATGACTCCGAACTGGACTTACGAAAAAGGTTTGTTAAAGCCTCAAAAAACCTTTGGGGCAGAAAAATAAAATCTGATCTAATTTGAGTGCTTAGCTAGCGGCATGCATTTAATGATGGTTGCAGTGCTTGGGGTCTTGTCAGTGGGGAAGCCTGATTCACTTAACAGCTACATTGTTAACTTACTAACTGAAATGAACCACTTAACTGTGCCCCCTCCCCCCCCCAAACATTTTAAAATGAGGCAAAATTCACTTAACAACTGTCTTTGCTTAGCAATAGAAATTTTGGGCTCAGTTATGATTGTAAATTGAGGGGTACCTGTAATTAAAAAAAGTAGTTATTATGAAATACAGATTAATGTATTAGCAAAAATAAAATAGATAAAATATGACTGAAAATATTGGAATATAATAATATGACAGGGAAACTTAAATGAATTGTATAAATTAGCACAGATAACATATCCAGGTTTTATACTGAACCTGAATATTTATTCAACTGAACAATTAAACCAGAAAAATATGCAATATATGCTTAAACAATCTATTACATCAATAATCTATTATTAGATACTTCAAACATAACACATGAATTGAAAGCCAAATCAGACCTGCCACAAAATTTATATTCTCTGTTCTAGACAGACATGTTTTCTTTTCTTTTTCCATCCTTAAGTTTCCCTGGGTCATTCTGAAGCAATTCTTTCTTTAGACATTTAGAAAATTGCCATAAGAATATGGCAATTAGGCTACATTTGCTCAGCTTTATACTTCTGGATCATGTGCAGACAAATATGTTTTTGAAATGTAATTATTTAGCTAATGACTGCATGTAACAATGGGGTTGGTGTTTTGTTGGGGGAAGGCTGAAGCACTTAAGCACAAAAATTTGCATCTGTTACCTACCATTTTTGCAGATGGGGCAACACTGATCTGGTTCATATACAGGATCCACACAATCAGTCTGCGGACAAGCAGACACAGTGCACACTACTTCACCATTGGCTTCACATCGACATTTCTCACAAGATGAAACCTAAAAATAAATCAAAGCATATTAAAGTTAAGGTGCTGAAAATTCTTGATTTAATTCTCAACCTTTATTTTTCCTGCTGGATCTTTGAGGTCCACCAAACAGAAAGAGATAGAAAATATAGTTGCAGAATGGTGACTCAAGGATACAGATAGTCCTCAACTTATAACCACAATCAAGCCCAAAATTTATGTTGCTAAGTGAGAAATTTATTAAGTGAGTTTTGCCATGACTTCTCACTACATTGGTTAAGTGAATCCCTGCAGCTGTTAAATTAGTATCAGTTGTAAAGTGAATCTGGCTTCCCTGTTGACTTTGCTTGTCAAAAGGTTGCCGAAAGATGATCACATGACCCCAAGATACTGCAACCTTCATAAATATGAGTCAGTTGTCAAGCATCCAAATGTAAATCACATGACTATGGGAATGCTGTAATGGTCATAAGTATGAAAAATGTCCATAAGTCACTTTTTTCAGTGCTGTTGTAACCGAACAGTCACTAAGTAAACAGTTGTAAGTTAAGGACTACCTGTAGTACATTTGTGCTATGTATGTATATTTGGATTTATATTCTGGAAAGAATTATGAACATACAAATTAAAAAAGGTAAAAGGAGAAGGAGAATACTTTCCATGTAATTACATGTGATCCTTATTTAATAATCACTCATTCAGGGATCATTTGAACTAACAACAGAGCTGAATGTATGGTACTTATTACTGTTCTTCATACTTTACAATGGTTGCAGCAACACCGCAATCGTGATTGTAATCCAGGTGTCTAGCACCCGGCTCAGAACAATGATTTGCAGTTTATTTGTCAGAATCATTACAATTAAAATAATATTAGCTGACATAAAATTTAAAGAAACAAGATTAAAATATGTACAAATTAAACAGATCTTGTCTAGAAACTAACAACATTAATTGCATTCTGTCATGCTGCCATGAGGGCCGCAAGTGTACACTGATCAGAGCACAAAGGACAGGTATAGATATGTGTTTTTGTCTGCCATGTCATCACAATTGCAAAGAGCAGTAGCGACTGGATAGCCCCATTTGTTCAGAGTATCTCTGGATCTTGTACCCATGGGCAATCTATTCAACATTTTCCATACTTCCCAGCTTTAATGGGCCAACTGCCAGCTCCTCCATTGGTTCCATGTAGTGTTGGTTCTTTGAAGGTTTCCATAGAACCATTCTGCTTTCAAAGTCTTCTGTTGCCGTAAGGAAGCCTTTCCTGGATTTCAGTCTCTGCTAAGCTGGCTGTGGCACTGTTTAGATCTTGATGATTTGAATGCCTTTCTGTATGCTGCTTCTTCTCTGAACAGCAGGCAGGGCAATGCCAGCTAGGTGATAGATAGATACCTAGAGGGGTAGGTTTAAAGCATCTGGTAATAATTCTGCTAGGCTCATTCATAACAATATCTACTTCCCCAGCATGTGCTGATTTATACCAGAGTAGGCAGGCATATTCACCTGCTAAGTAGCAAAGAGCTAGAGCTATTGTCTTAAGGACCCTTCGTTTGGCACCCCAGATAGAGCTCATTAATTTCCTGAGCATGTTATTTCATCCACTGACCTTCAGTTTAATGTTGATTTAGTGCTGCTTATATGTTAGGGCCTTATATAGAGTTTAGGTTGTGGCAATGTTACAATAACATCCCTTTCCATATAATATGCAGCTTCATAACAGCCTTTTTAAAAAAATGGAAGGTGCATACCTGAAATTTTGCTGCATTTGGTCTTAACTGATTATTGTAATATTGATCCAGCTCTACTAGGGCTTCAGTTAAACATTGTTCAACCTCATGAATGAAGGTAAATATATGTATCCCAAGGTAATGTTGCAGGATTTAATCTGGGTCAGTCAATCTGGGTTCAACCTTTTCAAATATTTTTGTCTATACTACCATTGCTTGATCATCAACATACATATAGTTGTTGCTATCTTCAAGGAGTGGATGATAATTGGTGTAAATATTTTTAAAAAGTTGGAGCCAATACACTACCCTATTGTAAGCCATTCCTTTGGTTCCTCTATGTACTTTGCCTTCTCTGGAATGCCACAAAGAAACATGGTTCTGAAGCAGATTCCTGATGATATTTATAAGTTTAAAATCTTTAATCATATCATAAACTTCTAATGTTTCAGTGTCCCACAGTCACATGATCACCATTTACAAACTTCCTTGCCAGCTTCAAACAAGCAAAGTCATCTAGGTCATGATTGTCCCAAACTGCTTTTTCAGGAGGCAACTGGACTTTTTTGTTTTTTCTTTGAAAACATTTCGCTTTTCATCCAAGAAGCTTCTTCAGCTCTGATTTGGTGGTGGATAATGGAAAGATTTATATTCCTTGCAGACAGCTGGTCATTTGCATTCTTTTAGAATCATTAAGGTCCTTTGGAGGTTTATCTGTGTCTTCAGGGTCACCTGAGTAGTGCAAATGGGTGTGGAGCCTTCTTGGTTGCAGGATGTTTTCTGCCCTATATCCCTTCAATGTTGAAGACAGACACATGAGTCTGTGTTGTTTGCATCTCAAACTGAAGTTCAAATGGTTCCTGTAGTCTGCAGTTTTTCTGGAAATCTGTTCATATCCCCTTACCATTCGAAGGGTGTTCATCCCAAAGGGCATAGCTAAAAGTGTATTAAGTGTATTAAGTCATTAAGATTGTAGCTGTCCCAAAAGTGCTTTTTCAGGAGGCAAGTGGACTTTTTTTTTTTGGAAGACATTTTGCTTCTCAGTCAAGAAGCTTCTTCAGCTCTGACTGGAAGGTGGGGAATGGAAGGATTTATATTCCTTGCAGACAGCTGGTCATTTGCATTCTTTTATAGAGTCATTAAGTCAGAGCTGAAAAAGCTTCTTGGATGAGAAAGAAAAGAAAAAACAAGGAAGTTCACTTTATAAAGCTTAGTAAGGCCACACCTGGAACACTGCATCCAGTATTGGTAACCATATCACAAAAAAGATGTTGAGACTTCGGAAAAAATGCAAAGATCAGCTAAGATTAAAGGCCTGGGGACTAAAACATATGAAGAGAAGTTGCAGGATTTGGCTAACCTTGAGCAAAGAAGAACTAAGGGGCACACAATAGCAGTATTCCAGTATTTGAGAGATTGCCACAAAGAGGAGGGAGTCAATTTATTTTCCAAAGCACTACAGAGCAGGACAAGAAACAATGGATGGAAACTAATCAAAGAGAGAAGCAACCTGGAACTAAGGAGAAACTTCCTAACAGCCAGGACAATTAACCAGTGGAACAGCTTGACACCAGAAGTTGTGGATGCTTCATTACTGGAGGTTTTAAAGAAGAGACTGGATAGTCACTTGTTTGAAATGGTATACGGGCTTCTGCTTGAGCAGGGGGTTGAACTAGAAGACCTCTAAGGTCCAATGTCATTGTATTTAAGTACAATGACAATGAAGATTATACTATACTATACTTTCCAGCTCTATTCTGATTGAACCTTTATAAAAGAAGAGATATCTGATTTGGGGGCTGTTCTGTAATCCATGAATTCTCTATGCTCATAAATGGCATCAGTGACAAGAAGGCCCTCTGTCCAATTTTGGTTAACATAGGATAGTCTGGCCAATTATCCCTGGTGATATCCAATCAGCACTTACCCATTCAATTAATAACATAATTGAATTATTAATGTGCACTCTAGCTGGAACTTCATTTAAAGATGCTCCAGGATCTCCTGCTGGATGCAGATACCTGATTAATTAAATGCCTAATTACTTAAAGGGACTACATAATACTGAAATTTAAAGCATAACTATCAAGCCTAATACAAAATAACAGATTTGGAAGGAACCTTGAAGGTCTTCTAATCCAACCTAGTCAAACAGGAAAACATACAATTTCAAACAAATGGTTGTCCAATTCAAGACGGTGCCTTTTATCTTCAAATCTTACATAGGTTAGCATTCACAATTTTTTAAAAAATTAACTGTGTCAAAAGATCAGCTGAAGAAGTCTTGCTATTTATGACAAGATTTCCAGATTCAGTTGTTGTAAGTCGTGGACGATCTGTATTTTTAAGGTATCATTCTGGCCCTTCTCCCCTTATGAGTTATGTAAGTCTAATCTACATGGTTGCTTTCAGGAAGCAGGTGAGTTAGTGGAGTCAATTGCGATGTTGGGACAATTGAGTATGAGAAGGTAATCAGAGATTGGTATCACCAGTAAAAAAAAAGGGGGGGGGAGGTAGAGGAACAGTCCGCAGCTTTAGTGTAACTATGAGAGCATTCCTACCCTAAATCTATTGTGTTATGAGTATGGAAGTGGACGACGGCAGTTATAGCATTGGGATTCAGAAAGTGCCATCATGAATGGTTAACCAAATTGTTGGCAGTAGTTTGGCTGTTCGGATGTGGAAGAAGATAAGATAACCATGGATTATCTTCAATGGATAAGATAACCTTTATTGTCACTTTATTCTGTGAACACATAGCATACATTAAAAAATGAAATTCTGATGCCTGAATTCTGAAAAGAAAATATATCTATATAGCTATACATATACTTTCAGACATACATAATATACATTACACACAAACACACAAATTGATCACAGTCCATTTTGAATAAATAGAGGAAAAAGGTCTTGAGAGTTAACAAGGTTGATACTATATGGATATGCTGAATATTGAAATATCTGAATGGAGTAGTTGCCACATGTATCCCACTTATCCCAGGATGAAGAAGACACGGGAGGGATCAGTTTGCCATGACAAGTAAGTGAGTTCAACAATCTAGCACTAATCTTCATTCCATCTTCAGTTGTTTCTTACCTGGGTCACCATGATTGATCAGTGATGATCCCAGCTTCAAGCTGTGTTGATAAACACGACATTGTAAAATATGAACCTGTTAATACACAACCTGATAATGTATGAATCTGCAGACCTGGTGGATGAGGGTAATTTTTGTGGATGAGGGTAACACTGCTCTTTTAGAATTGTTCTTTAGGTATTCAGGTATTTGAATACTAG